ACCTTGTGTAGTACTGTGTACTATGTGTATGTGACAGAGATGGAATATGTATTTAGTACTCCCAACAACTTTTATCTTAAATTTCTCATTGAAAAATAAAACAAAAGCCTTTAATCCTAGTTGGGCTTCCACTAATTTGGACGATTTCTTATTTCCTTTCAAAAAAATAGGCTAGACATTTGATCACATTAAAAATATATATTCTCTACCCATATATATATATATATATATAGAAGAAATTTATGTAGATCAGATTGCTCCAGATCAACTTGCATTATATACTTCCAAGTTGCTTCCAACGTCCAACTCCCTTTAGGTTTTAATTATAAAATTAATAGTTTGACGTATTTTAAAATTACAGTATCTAAAGTTAAAAGTAAGTCATGCCAACATCACGATGGTATTATTTTATAATCCTATCTTCACTGAAAACGTAGGATTTTAACCCTGCGATAGTCATGTACATTCTAAATTGGTTAAGCAAGGTTATTTATCACATATGTATATGTGTGTGTGTGTCTTGCTCTTTGAATTCTGAATGTGTAGGTCCTTTGGCATGACATTTAAATGACTCAGGGCTCATTTGGAAGTGTATTTTTACAATGAGTGAAAATATTTTTAGTGAAATTGATTTTAGATTTCAAAAGCACTTATAAGTGCCTTTTGGAAGAAGCACCAGCTATATGCTTTTCCAAGATCGACTTGGATTTTTACTAAGGATTAGTTTCAAAAATATTTCATCAAAAGCATTTTCAATCATTTTAAAAGCACTTACAAATGAGCCCTTAATAATCCAAACGTGCCACTTAATAAAACAGTCTAGTGGTATTCCTTTTCACCTGTAAGTGAGAAGTCTTAGATTCGATTCTCGCCAAAGACGAATTTTAATCACATTATTGCTAGCTTATTGTGAGGCTAAACCCACTCCCCTCCCTGCAGATAATATCATTTGTTAAAAAAAAAAAAAAAAAAAAAAAAACCCAAATGTACTCCAAGGGAAAAGTCTAGCAACCAACGACTTTTGTATATGCTTTTTATTTTATTCTACACTTCAAACTTTCTATATTTGAAAAGAGAAATACACTTGTGAGGAGTGTAGAATGAGATTTTTGAAGTGCTAATAACACTTCCCTTATTTTATCTTGTCTAATATGATTTTATGTCATATACACACATAATGGCTTACAAATATAGTAAAAATTCAGACAAATATATTGAATGGTGGTTACATAAAAGTTTGAAAAGTTTCGAAGTCTTACAAAATTTAGAAGATCCGCATTATATTCCGAAAATTTCAATATAAAACTGATTCCAAAATTTTTGATAATTTCGGCAATCCAAAATTTCAACATTGGAAATAATATTTGATTCCGAAACATTTTTGAATTCGCATTGGAATGCTTACTTCCAATCCGATTCGACCAAAAATTACCCCTAATGTCGACTTGCCTTTTGTATGATCTTGTCCATTATTCTTTATTAGGTATTTTTCGATTCATGCCCTGAACTTTAATTTTAACCGATTATTTCGATGGACTTTTAGAATTAGCTAATTTCCTCTAACATTTAATTTTAAAAAAAAATATCCAATTTTCTATTCATTTTGGTCACTTGGAAAATGCTTGAGGGCAATAAAGTAATTTTATTTTTTGATGTTGACAACATATTCTCTTCCACTATTTTTTTTGGTCGAACTTCTCTTCCGCTAGTTGATTCCGTACAATTTATGTTTGAATTGGCCATGGTAGTCCAATTAGCAACTGCAAAGTATTGGTTTTGTGCCCAAATTAGCAAAACAAAACAACCTTTTTGCCTTCGTACAGTTATCATGTGATGTCTATCTGACCTAGATGAATTGAAAATTGGATAAAAAATTCAAAATTTATTGTCAATGAAAATATTAATTATAAAAGTTCAGATAGATAATCATTTAAAAATAAAATTTAAAAGGAAAAATTTGGTAGCTCAATACAATTTCGGGAAAAGAAATCGACAAATAGGTCTCCTTCATTTATGCAAACCCAAAAATTTATTGGTTGACGAAGACTGAACCACGGGCTCAAGTCACCCGATCTACCGGCCAGAAGGTCGTTTAAACTTTTAAATAAAATAATCATTCTCAAATTTGTTAGAATTTGCATTTGGTCACAGTTGTGGATGGATCATTGGATGCACCAGGTCATAGCTCACCAAACTAGCAGGACCCAGCTCCTTCTTATCTGTTTGAAGTTTTTAATTTTGGTTGTAATATCTGTTTGAAGTATTTTATTCCTAAACTAGTCGGTTCATGTTCGTCTACTTCGAAAGATAAAAATATCCGGTTTAAAGGCAAAATTACTGTAGATCTTTAACTACTTTAAGTTATAACGAAAGTTTATGATAATTACCAAGAGTATCTCCAAATATGATGTTAAATAGTACATATTAACAAGAATAGTCAAACAAACACAATATTAGTGTTTTTTTTTTTTTTCAATCGGAATACCAATTCTTATTTAGCATGATGTAGATTGACAACAAAAACAGTTATTGTCAAATTTGATAGCAGATTCAAATTAATTTTAATTAATTATTAAAGTAAAATTTTAAAAGATATTAAAGTATGTCACATAACTGTTAAATTTAAAATTCAAGTTTAAAATTTTCTTTTGGGATAGACAGCAGCAGTAGGTTAAAATTACGAGAGTTTTAACGAAAAGTCCGATGTACTGTTTACTTTAACCAAAAATCACATTTTTACACTAAAAAGTCAAACTTGATATTATTCACTTTATCCTTTATTTTATCATTATCGTTAAAATTCAAAATTATACAAAAATTTTTCATTAGCTTTCCTTAAAATTAATTTAGGTTATCATATTTTTCCAACTAAAGTAAGTGTCACCTCAAATGTTGTGACTACTAATTTATAATAATACTACATTCATAGTGCCTTATCATGTCCAACTCTTGAGCGGATGTGATCGGTTTGTTTGTGGCATAGTTGTCCAAACGGACTGAAGCAAAATATCAACTTTTCCGAGTCATTTGCTTTTAGTTTTAATATAGGGAGCGATCATTGAAAATTTCTTCGTGGCTCTTGGGGCTGCGGGAAGTTGGATATTTGTGGGCTCTGGTTATGCTGCAGAATTTGGGACAAAATCTGGTTTTGTTAGATAATATTTTGAAGACCTACACCATCTCTAAAGAAGATGTCAAATTTAAAATTTAAAATTTAAATTTGAAGGTTTATGTGACATTTTGACATCTTTTAAATTTTTGATCTCCAACCGATATGTTAATTTTTAAACATAAAATAATAATTCATATATTTTTTTTTGCATTGGAAATGAAAAGAAACAAAAAGATAATGGTTTAAATCAATAAAAAATTAATAGAAAGCATTTAATAATTAATTCAAAATGTGACATCCCACATCGTCCAGGGGACTGATCCTTATATGTATATTCCCATCCCTACCTAGCATGAGGCCTTTTGGAAGCTCACTGGCTTCGGGTTCCGTAGGAACTTCGAAGTTAAGCGAGAAGGGGGCTTGAGCAATCCCATGATGGGTGACCCACTGGAAAGTTGCTCGTGAGTTCCCAAAAACAAAACCGTGAGGGAATGGTAAGCCCAAAGCGGAAAATATCATGCTACGATGGGCCCAAGAAGTGATCCGCCCCAGGCGGGGATGTGACAAAAAAAGTCTGAAGGTACTGTCAAATTTGGTAGCAAAGGAGGGAAATGTCAATCCATATCATGCCACATCAGATTTGGCTTATTGGTTGGAAAACATTAATGTTGTCTTTTATTACCGTTATTATTAATTTGAATATTTCATTTGGGATGCTCTTAAAAGAGAATTATGAATGGTTGAGAACTTGTCTCATTATTATTTGTTACGGTATGAGAAAAATAAATATGTAATTATTTAGATTAGTAAAATTCAAAATTTTTATGTCAATAGAGCTAAAGGAATTTTAAGGTTTCCAAGTAGTTACTCAAAAAGAATAACAATAGAAGAAAAAATTAAGGTTAATCTTAGTTTACTATCATAAATTTTTTTAGTTTTTAATATTTGGTAAATGAAATTTTTTTCATCTCAGAGCGGTACATAAAGTTATAATTTTGGAACACTTTCATATATCCGTTAAGATTGCTGTTATATATGCTGTTAACTGATGACGTGGTATTCACGTAGATAATGATTGGATGATACGGAGATATTATAAATAATAATAATAATAATAATAATAATAATAATAATAATAATAAAAATTTAAAATTAATTAAAATTTAAAAAAAAAATTTGGTCTTCTCCCTCGCCCCTTCCGACGCGCCTCCCTTCTCTCCTCTGCACTCACCCTTCCCCCTCCCTCTTCGACTCCACCCAAGCCCCGACTTCCAGCCTCAGCCGCTACCAAATCTATTCTCTCTCCTATCTCCCTCACAGTCTCACCCTCCAAGGACTCCACATCAAAAAAAACCCCAATCCCAGATACCTTTCGAAACCCCACAGCAGCCCGCCATAAAGTTGCCGATCGCCCTCATGAAATCGCCGTTCCCATCGGAAAGCAGCAGCACCTCGTAGCCGATCACGAAGCTGCAAATCTCCTGTATATAACCTTGTGTGCACGGAAACTGCAAATCAATTCAGAAAAATTAAATCTTTGGTTTGACCAAATTATTAAAGAAAAAAACTCCAAAAACAAAAGCAAATTAATTTTTTTTTAATTATTTTTATATCTATGTGACGTCCAATCATTGTCGAAATGAATATCACATCATCAGTTAACGGTAAATTTAACAGTAACCTTAACGAATGTGTGAAAGTGTCATATAAAGTTATAATTTTATGTACCACTATAAGATTAAGTGTCATATAAAGTTATAATTTTATGTACCACTATAAGATGAAAAAAATCTATCAAATGTTGAAAATCAAGAAAATTTATTGTAGTAAACTAATATTAACTCAAAAAATTATTACTGCAGACAATGTTTGCAAGTGAGACATCAACTGATTAAAAAGTAATTTAATTATATTTATAGAAGATAATACACTCTGTTCACTCTGCAACTTTTTTCCAAACAAAGAAATCAATACAAGAAGATCATCACAACCATAACACTTATTTTTCAAGCCCAAACTGCCCAAACCATGGTTATCACTTTTGACTGATGAGAAAAAAAACATACAAAGAAAAGCCACACAACCTTCGACTGACCATCTAGTAACGGTAACAGCCAAAACACCATAGATACATGTGATTAATTTAGTTGTATGCGTCGGGGTGGTCCTTAAGGTAGCTCTCAATAAGCTTGAACAAACCATGGGCCTTCTCTTTTCCAGCCTTGACGTGCTCTTCTTTAATTTCAATATCTCCTTTAGTATGGTAATGACTAATGCTTTTGATGGTTGAACCACTTCCAGATGCCACCAACTTGGTCTCGTAAGATATTTTCTCGATGGTGTCTGTCAAAGCATCACCTTCGATCAAAGTATAGGCGTATGAGTAGCTTGCTTCGTCAATCGAGTCAATCCTGTGCTTCACGTAGCCGTACTGGCTGCCTACGAGACAAATAAAACATATAATATTATTAAATTGTGGATACAGACCGTAATCAATCTACAAATCCACTAGCACTGAAATAGTCTGACATCAACATGTATACGTGTTGATAAAATTTGTTAAACGAAACCATCGAAATCATTAACCGTGCTAATTAACTGACCTTCACCAAAAGTGATCTTCTTGATGGTTCCGGGGCCACCGTTTCCTTCAAGAATCTCAGCTTGTTTGACTGCCTGGGGTGCAATTTTGGGGATGAGGTTGTCAGCATCGAGGACAAAGGCCTTGAACAATCTTGATGGTGGAATCTCAGAGGTGAACTCGTTCTCAAATGTGTAAACTCCCATGATGATTGAAAAAAGGTTGGAAAATGAGCAAAGGAAGGATGATGGTTTTTTTGAAGGTTGAGAGTATTGTGTTGGAGATGAGTACTAGGAGGTGGTATTTATAGGATTACAGTTTGGGGCATATTGTCATTCGATGTCTCCAAATTTACAAGGAATTTAAAATGTTTATTAAAAATTTGTGTCACTGGTGTGTTGGATAACTCCAAGTGACAATATTTAATAGAAATTTGACTTGGTCAAATAAAGCACCTTTGAATTGATTAATAAAAAAATACAACTGGTTTTTCTTTTTTGTGAGACGGTGAGAGTGGAGCAAAGAAACTAAAGGCTTCTAGATGTATGGTTAAGTTATTTCCAATCAAAGGGTTTAGAGTGTCGAAAATAACCCGAAAATCATTTCCAATTTAAGACTAGGTCAGAAGGCTCGTGGAATTTGAAGAGCCCCGAGGAATCTGAAAGGGCCAAAGGGATGCCAGCCCAGGACTGGCCAGAAAATAGAGCAATCCTTTCACTTATAATTGACATGAATATATTTATGTTAAAAATTAAATATATTTCTGTCGCTTATAATTGATAGAATTGTTTTAAAAAAAATTGAATACCTAAACCATTCATTAAATTTAAGTTATAATTTTTTTGGTTTTTTGGGCTAGTTACTGTTGTAGTTTTTAAATTTAAGTTGTTGGATTTGAATTTAAGTTGTTGTAATTTTTAAATTTAAATAATAAATTATGTTTGGCCCTCAGTTGGAGACAATTTTTTGTAACAGGATTAGAACGAGCCCTATGTCCTTTTGGCCATATGTTGAAGATAAAAACAAATATGATATTGTATTATTTATTAAAATATTAATATTTTGAATAATCCAATGACTAAAATAAGTCTTTTAACCAGCCACCGGTCGAAGATGCTCTTATTATTAGCTTCAGTTACTCCCGATAGGCCCCAGTTCTGGCTGTGCGTGCATATAGGTACCGTTTGGTACGTGGGACGGGACGGAACAGAGTGGGACAAGGCGTTCCGTCCCACGTTTGGTGCGCCTAAAACGGGTGGAACGAGCTGTTCCACGGGACGAGTTTTAGGTGAATTTTCGTTCCACCTCACCCCTTGGAACAACTCGTTCCACATCTGTGGAACACAAAATTATAACCTCTCTGTCTCCTTCTTCTTCTTCCTCCTTGTTTCCATCCGAGGGCATATTTGCTCCCACTCCGTTCCGTTCCGTCCTGTCCCGTCCTGTCCCGTCTCATCCCGTCTGCGTACCAAACGATACCCTAGTTTCTAGGCTGCTTTTGCAGATTCTAACAACAGTTGGCAGATCTCATTTTAATTCGATGGCAAAAAGTAGGAATGCAAGATGGAGATGATGCTTTTTCAAAATAACATGTTTGGAGCTTTATAAATCATCAGACATAGTTCATGGGAAAAAAGAAACCGAAGGATAAAAAAGTACACACATTCACAAGTTGTGACAAAATTGACCAATAATTATAATTTATAAATGTTAAAACGTTTTTAGTTTGGTTTGGTTAATTATCATCGGGGTAATTTTTTTTTTTTCTCTTGTTTAATTTGGGAGAGGATGAGCGAGGGGTGCTGAAGACTTCTTTTTATTTCAAAAATGGCAACTGGCAGTCAACATTGCCTATCAATTTCCAGTTGCTTTCTGAACAATTTCTTATTATGGGGTAAATTTTTTATCTTGCGTTTGAGAATAGAAGTAAACTCCTTATTAACTTACTTGGAATCAAATAGTCGTCACAAATGTTGAATAACTAATGGTACATCTTATTAGTTATACTTGGGATAGATTTGTACAAAGAGAAAAAAAAAAAAAATCCCAAGTTCATGAGATAAATTTTGTGACTGATAAACTATCTAACTTGAGTATATCGTGTTTACTTAGTCCAATTTATTTCGATCAAGTGATTTATCACTTGTCGACATCTCTTAATGGTAAACGTTGTAGGGATCTTTAGATCAAGTGATATTTTATTATAGTTTCTCTTTGTTGGCAGCCCCGATGTTAATCAAAAACAGATTAATCCAAAGTTATAGGCTAATTTAGAGAAAAATGAGATTGATATAATAATGCAGAGAAACCAAAATTCAATCGCTTCATTCATGCATGAAGCAATTGATTGGATTAATGGAGTAGTTTGCATTACCAAATACCACATATGGATAGCAACAACGTGTCTCACAATTACAGCTGACCATGTAGATTCAAATTTTTATCCCATGCATGTGACCAATTAACTTTACCTTACCAGAAGAAAATAAATAAATAAAAAAATTTGGGCAATAATTCTGCCGAAAGCTGGAGGAAGGTCGTCATACAAACAGGATTCAACGTGCTTAAAACATGCACGATAACGTTTTTGCTTCTTTCAATAATAAAATCCCCAAAGTATTGCTTATGTAATGAGTTCCCTAAGGATCTGCTGGAATCAATTAATCTCTAAAGAATAAATATATCGAATATGGTTGATTCCTTACCAATAATCAATTATTATTTTTGTTTTATTAAACTATTTTTATGACCTTTATATAATCACGAATTCAATAGATTTGTACAACCCATTACTAATTTTTGTATTTCGTACAACCAATTAGTAATTTTTTTGTTGCTCTATCAACTAATCATAGTTGATTAAATAATTTTATAGGAAAATTAACAAAAAGTTTAAAAAAAAATTTAATTTTAATAAAAAATAAGAAATAAAAATATAATGAATATTATAAAAAAAATATAAAAATATAATTTTTCATTAAAAACGAATCTTACGTTGAAACTCTCTAGTTTTATTGGCACAATAAGTTTGAACTGACTTAACATTATAGATCGAGTAATGATATAAAAATACGGACCACTAACGTCCCATCTTTATTAAAAAAAATATTAATATTTGATAAGAATACCATTTTTTATAGATAAAGCCCCTGTAAACAATTATTGCAGGTTAGGCACGAATATAATCCGGTCGGCAGTCTTGATGGGACATTCGAAAACTAGTCAAATTTTACAGACTTGACCCTTTTTTTTAGGAAGTATGATTCTTTTTTCTCTTCTTCTCTTACATATTATTTTTTATCTCATTATCTTTATAAAAAAAATATCAATATAGAATATTAACGTAATTTAACCGTGATCGTTTAAATAGTATGGGAGAGAAGGGGAGTAAGATTATGAGAGAAGAGAATCCTCCTCCTTTTTTTAGACAGCTTGAAAACTTGAGGGGAATTTGAGGAGATAATTAACATGGAATTGGATCTCATCCGAATTCAAATTGTAAGGATTTTAAGAATTCTCATATCTTAGTTATTTATTAGGTATCGTACGTTCAGAAATTATTTCACTTTTTTTATTTAAAATTAAATACAAATAGTAATTGATAAAAATTAACCATATGATATACAATAAACGGTTAGAATATGAAAATATCTAGGATTCACACAAAGTAGATCCGGAGATAATCATCTTCCAATCAACATCGCCTAGGTCAGTTCATTATTCGAGTGTTTATTTTTCAAATTGGCTAAAAAAAATTGGTAAGAGTCAAATAGTTAGTTATCTAAATTACATATTAATATAATTGTCTTTGTCAATTAAAAATGGTGAAAAAGACTATTTATCTTTTTATCACAACAACAAAAATTAAGGGGAGTAATATCATTTCACAAAATAAAATTTTACTGTTTTTTGTGTACAACATGTGACTTTAACATTTCAAACTTTAAAAAAAAAAAAAAAAACCTTCTCTCCTTCTTTCCTCACCACACGTTCTTTCTCACTCTCTTCTTCACTCATTCAATTTTAAAAATAAAAATAAAACGTTTCACATGCACTTTATGTGTGGGCGTATACCGGTATACATTTATTTGTTAGAAAGTATATGCAATTCTACAGTGCAATAAAAGTAATTGCATGCATGTTCGCCTCTGTTACTGAATCAAAATACATATATGCTATCATCCTTACCGATCTAAATCAAGTTCCATGTTTTCATGATCTTTTTTCTTCATAAGACTTTTGGAAAATAAGAAAAAGCTGTATTTTTCACATGTCCCACCACATCGACATAAAGATTAACGTAGTTTGTCTTAAACTCGGATATCCTCATTGCCCGGGATATTCCCAATTTTATGCAAATCCCATAACGAAAAGCCCTCACCATTTGCAAGTGTTGGGCCATGAACTTCGTTTTACCCAATTATTTTACCCCGTCCCTTTAGTGTAAGTATATTATTTTGCAGAAAAAAAAACTCTTTGATTGCATTTCAATACTGTCGATGATCTTATAATGTAAGTAGTATACCTTAACAGTATAAAAAGGTGTCGGCAAAGTAGCACTAATCTAGTTGCAATAATAACATTATCATTCTACGTTGTTAGGCATAACCTTATTGGTATTATTACGTAACATTGAACTATAAACTTTGACGAATATAGTATGATTTACATTTTTTGTAATTTAAAGTTGAATTGTAACGTCATGTTGTAACACCATTAAATGTGAAGGTAAATGGCTGACAAATATAAATTACAATGCATAATAATTTCATGAAGCCACTAATAATTTATTATAAAAAGAGTAATGTTATCTTTTCTTTTTATACTAAAATAATATTACTACTTTAATTTACACTAGAGATGAGGATGTTTGAATTCGAAACATAGTAGATTGAAGATGAATACCTTATTATAGAACAATTCATCACTTGCACCGATACTCTTTTTTTATTTATTTAGAAAGAAAAAAAGTACCGTACAATTTTCAGTACTTGACTAATAATGTAGTTTGTATCACATTTATACAAAAAATAACGTGATAATTACTAATACAAATTTATAGTATGACAATATAACGTATATACCAAACTAGGTATATTTTCCATAGTTTAGTCACTAGTTGATAAGGGTCTTTCTAATTTCGAGTGTAAGAAGCTGTTTCAGCATACTAGACCGGCAACTGCTCCTCATAATATTATTTTCAATCTAAAGAATTACGATCACATCTTTTATTTTATTTTATTTTATTTATCTTAAAATTGTTCTTTTGTT